GGACAGGGACACACACACACACACACACACACACACACACACACACACACACCCTCCTTCAGCACCGCCCCTCCTCCAATGCCCCACAGGCCCCTGTTGCATATGCATGAGGCTTATGCATTATTCATGAGGGGACAAGCCCCAGACAGCTGTGTAAATGCTCACCTCTGGCTGCTCTAGGGAGGAAGTATTTTAAGAGAAGGGGTGTGGGTGTGTGAGGGTGCAAGCAGAGGGAACAGAGTGCCTCTGGGAGGGTATGTGTGTGCGTGGGAGGGTGCACCTGAAACTGTCACTGTGTTGGATCACCTCTGTACATTTGCATGTGTACATGAGGCTTTGTATACAAAAAGCTGATTTTTAATTTAACATTTCTAGCACCCCACAAGTCTTTGCTCATCCCATCCTCACCGTAACACTATGAGGTACATGTTGGGTGATCCCCATTTTACAGGTGGGGAAAGTGAAGCACAGAGAATGAAGCAACCTGTCTAGGGTCATACAATGTATAGAAAGAGGCAGAGTTTTTTTTTTTAATTTTAAATAAATTTGGGGTTTGAACTCATGACCCTGAGATCAAGAGTCACATGCTCCTCCAACTGAGCCAGCCAGGTGCCCCTGAATGTAGTCTGTCCTTTTAACCATACAAAGTGTGTGTGTGTGTGTGTGTGTGTGTGTGTGTGTGTGTGTATGAATTCTGTGAACTCACCCCCTCCTAAGGTCCTCCTCGTCAGGCCTTGTACAGCCATCAGAGGATCCTGCACTTGTTCAGGATTCCAAGGGGGAGAAATGAGGACAGCTGGGAATGGAGGCAGAAGTTGCTAAGGTTTACAGGTTGGTAGTTGGGGGCACCATCCCGAGGTCTGGCCTCTGATCCGCTGTGCAGCCCTAGGCAAACTGCTAGCCCTCTCTGGGTCCCGGGTGAAGCTGTGGTGCCGCTGCCAGAGGAAGACAAGGAGACCAAGTGGGCATGTCATTGCTTTGCCTCCCTAGAGTTCAGCACCACGGATAGGGCCCCGGCTGGCCTCCCAGTAGGGACTCTGGGAGCAGGGAAAGAGCACTGGGAATGGGACCAGCTTTCCTCCACAGCCCCCATGCTGGATGCTATCTACACTCCCCTCCTCAGTGCTATTCTTTTATTGGGGGAGGCTGCAAGAGTTAGATTTTTAGAGGATGCCCTAACTTGCCATCTGTCCCCACCTCCTGAGCCCCAGTGAGGGGAGTGGTACAGAGGGGCTGTGAGGCTTTGGGGAGGGACTATCTCCCCAGAGTTTCTGGTCTCTGGAAGAATGTGAGGCCTGGGAGGGCACTGCTGTGTCCCGGTGCCTGGATTGGGCCTTACTTACAGTTGGCACTCAGTAATTGTCCATTTTATGTCTGAGGGCCACAACCCCTATAGAAGGCTGGACCCACAACTGGAGTTTCTCTGTGGACCTAGGAGGCATCTTTGCCAGGTGGTATGAAGTCAGGAGGAGGGTGGGGTGGGCAGGGGTGAGGCCCCTTCCTCCAGCTGGGACTTGGCAGCTTCTCAAAAATCCCGGAAACCAAGAATAGAATCTTGGCGACAACCAAATCCTGGAATTGAAGCTGAGAATCGTGTCAGTCAGCAAACCCAGATTAAAGGCTGACTTGGAGGCCAGCCTACTGCGAGGACTGGGGACCTCAGGCTGACTGGGACTGGCTACTGCCCTCCTGGAATCCTAGTCTTATGGGTGAGGCCAACATGAAAGATGGGATTTTGATCTTGGCTGTGTTAAGGTCAATAATAGTAATAACAACAGTTCAGGGGCACCCGGCTGGCTCAATCAGAAGAGCATGTGGCCCTTGATCTTAGGGTTGTGAGTTCGAGTCCCACGTTGGGCATAGAGATTAAATAAATACATTTTTTAAAAAACAGCTCAAATCTATTCTTTCATGCCAGGCAGTTCTAGGCATTTTGTACATATTGACTGTACTTACCCATCTATTCCTTCTAACTACCTGATGTTATCTCTAGCTAACCTACAAAGAAACTGAGGCATAGAGAAGCTAATCTACTTGTTGAAGGTCACACAGCAAGGAACAGGCAGATAGACAATACCAGGTCTGATTCTCTTTAACACCCTTACTTCTGACTGTGAAACTTCACTGCTGGGATTCTGAAGTCAGCCGGTCCTGGGTTTGGATCCTGGGTTAACCCTTGCTTGCTGACTGTGTGACCTTGAGTGACACGTTAGCCTCTCTGAGTCTGTTTCTAGGTCTGTAGAATGGGGAGACTTGGTCCTTCCACACTAACTGGGTGGGTTGTACTCACCCCCATTCTCCCTCTGTCTCCATCTTTTTCCAGGTCCAGCATGGGGGCCACGTCTGTCTGGGCCTTGGGCCTCCTGATGCTCCAGATGCTGCTGTTTGTGGCTGGGGAACAGAGTGAGTTAGCTTGTGGGGTGGGAGAGGTTGGGTTCTGGGGGACTGACAAGATGGGGCAGCTTTTTAACTCTAGAGCTTTCTCCTGCTGGTTCCCTGGCTTGGTCTGGAGAATAAAATGAGAATAGATGAAACAGGTCTTTGAATAGTCAAAAGTGAACAAGACACCTGAGAGGTTATTTTTAGTCATTGCCAGCGGAGGCTGGAGGTTCCTGCCTCTCACTGTTTTGCTGAGCTGAGCTGAAGAGAGAGAGAAAAAAATGAAAACAGTGCGGAGATTGATTAGTGATGCCTGTCATGGGCGGGGCAATAGAAATAAGGCATGTATAACTCTCCCTGGCATCTCCCCAGTGATGGTTAAAAGCCCAGGCACTGGAAATGCCCCCTGATTTGCTCTGTGGTTAGGCAAGTACAACGATGTCTCTGAGACTCAGTTTCCTCAACCCTCCAAAAAGACAGTGAGACATGGCTACTTCCGCCTATGGTTATGAAAATCAAATGAGCTGATCGCTATGTATAAAAGTGCCCCTGTTATCAAGAAGGTACTCCTCAAGCACATTTTCCTTCTAATGGCTGCTTCTTACTGGACTTTGGGGTTAAGTGACTTTCCCATGACCACACAGTGAGTCAGTGACAGAGTCAAATCCCTGGCAGCCGGGGTCTGGATTTTGAGTGGATGCACCGCTATGAAGGCATGTGACTCCACTTTTGCTCACAGATTGGGGTGCACATCACAGATCTGTTCACTGCATTGTGATATTGTAGGCAACCTAACCTCTCTGGCTTCAGTCTCCTTATCAGTAAAGTGAGAGAAATAGCAGTCTCTGCTGGTCTTTGTCTTTGAGTCAGGTCCTCTTTCCACCTTCTCCACCCCAGGCACACAGGATGCCACTGCTGCTGCCTCTGCTGCCGCCAACAAGGGGCTCCACATGCAGAAGGTGGGGTCGGGGTCGGTTCGGGCTGCGCTGGCAGAGTTAGTGGCCCTGCCCTGTCTCTTCACCCTGCGACCATGGCCAGATGCAGGCCGAGAAGCCCCTCGGATCAAGTGGACCAAGGTGCGGACTGCATCAGGCCAGCGGCAGGACTTGCCTATTCTGGTGGCCAAGGACAATGTGGTTCGAGTGGCCAAGGGCTGGCAGGGACGTGTTTCACTGCCTGCCTACCCCCGGCACCGGGCCAACGCGACGCTACTACTGGGACCACTGAGAGCCAGCGACTCTGGGCTCTACCGCTGCCAGGTGGTGAGGGGCATAGAGGATGAGCAGGACCTCGTGCCCCTGGAGGTGACAGGTCAGTTGAGGACAGGGGAGAGGACAAGGCTGGGAGGGGAGGTGCTGAGCCTGAAGCTCACCCACAGAATGTCACCTTAGAAGTCACTCCCTGAACAATGATTCCCTTTCAATTCTTCTGACAAAGTAAAGTCCCAAAGAAAGTCTCCTCCAGTGCTACCCTTTCTTTAATACTTCTCTCTCTTTTATTTAAAAAAAAATTTTTTTTAACGTTTATTTATTTTTGAGACAGAGAGAGACACAGCATGAATGGGGGAGGGGCAGAGAGAGAGGGAGACACAGAATCGGAAGCAGGCTCCAGGCTCTGAGCCATCAGCCCAGAGCCCGACGCGGGGCTCGAACTCGCGGGACTGCGAGGTCGTGACCTGAGCTGAAGTCGGACGCTCAACCGACTGAGCCACCCAGGCGCCCTACTTCTCTCTTTTTTAGCTAAGACAAAGCAGCTTCTGGCTCCATCTATTGTGGACCACAGTATTTTATAGGATTTCATAAGCTTTTTTTTAAATTTTATTTACTTTGAGAGAGAGAGAGAGAGAGAGAGAATGCAAGTGAGGGGGGGACAGAGAGAGAGGGAAAGAGAGAGAATCCCAAACAGGCTCCACACTGTCAGCATAGAGCCCAATGTGGGGCTCCAATCCACAAACTTCAGGATCATGACCTGAGCCGAAATCAAGAGTCAGATGCCTAACGTACTGAGCTTCCAGGCGCCCCTCCTAACCTTATTATAAGTCCCTTTCATGGTTACCTACTTTCACATAAGACAAAGGATATTGACTTGCTTAAAATAGGAATACAAGGGCACCTGGGTGGCTCAGTCAGTTATGTATCCAACTTTGGCTCAGGTCATGATCTCATGGTTCGTGAGTTCAAGCCCCACATGGGATCTCTGCTGTCCACGTGGAGCCTACTTCGGATCCTCTGTCCCCCTCTGTCTCTGCCCCTTCCCTTCGCATGCTCGCTCTCTCAAAATAAATAAACTTTAAAAAAATAAAATAGGAATACAAATTTCCTTTTACAATAAAATGATGTGTTTTTTTTTAATAAGAGTGAGGTTTTCTTTTCATAGCCAACTGAAAATATATATTAAGTAAGTAACAGTCCTCAAATACCTGTTTGACCAACTCCTGTATTAAATTCTTTCTGTTGAAATAGCCAGTGTTTCTCTTTTCCTAACTGATCAAGGTGGACAAAACAAAACAAAACAAAAAGTTTTTTAATTATGAAAGCAAAGTCCTACTAGCACAGGGGTGGCACAGTAGACGCTCCATAGGTAATTGACAAATGACTCAATTGACAAATGAATGGATTGTTGTGTGTAAAACATCCTGTGGGTTCTTGCTGGGAAGTCGATTTACCTTGACCTATGCTGGCCATGGGCAAATCCCTGAACCACCTGTCCTGGAGCACAGTGTTCTCCCACCCAACAGTGTCTCACTGCATATTTTATGGGGTCAGCCAACTGTCCCTTTTACACGGCCTCGCTGCTCAAAACTGATAAACCTTGAAGAAAACCGATAAGTGATGAAGGAAGGAAAATCTACTTCTGGGATTGTTCAATTCATTCATTCAACTGAACGTGTATTGAGCACCTACCTACCACATGCTAGTCTGGTGCTGGGAACATATTCATAACTGAGATGCAGCCACTGTCTTCCAGGAGCTCGGAGTTTGATAAAATGGAATCGAATGTTTCATTCCTTTGTCTTGCTCAGCCATTTCTTTCATCCTAAATCAGAATTTGAGTCACAGCGAGCCTATTATTTATGCTTCCCATCCTGGCTTACAAGTCACCTCCTCTAGGAAGTCTTCTGTGACTCCATTCCCAGGCTGGGCAAGAACGACTTGATCTCCCATTGCCACCTGTGCTTTCCCTATCAATACATGTACTTAATTCCTTTGTTTTTAAGATTTTATTTTTAAGTAATCTCCACACCCAACGTGGGGCTTGAACTCACAATCCCAAGATCAAGAGTCATATGCTTACCCTGCTGAGACAGTCAGGCACCCCAGCATGTACTTTATTTTTAAAAGGAAGAATCTCCCTCTTCTCCATGCCTCCTGTCACCTCCAAGGTCTAACCCTAGGCATGAAGAGTGCTATCTTTGGAGTCAGAGCATCCTGGTTATGAATTTTGGCTGTGCCTCATACTGGCTGTGTGGAACGGAACATGTGCCTCAGCGTCTCTGAGCCTTAGTTTTCTCCTCTGGAAATGGGGATAATCACAGTGTTGTTGTAAGATTTCATTGAGATCTTGCTTATAAATGCTTTCTACATGGTAAACATTAGACACATTTTAGCCCTTTATGGTCATCGTTACCAATTTCCTTATTTAAAAATGGGGTCATATCAGTCTGGCATGGTACAGGGCAGCATAGGGGAGCAGGTTTATTATTATCAAACTGGGAGAAGGGGCATTCTGCAAGAAAGAGGTCAGTTCTTGAAGATTGCAGCATAAGTCAGCCCCCTATCCTGGATGTTCCCCAACAGGTGTTGTGTTCCACTACCGGGCAGCCCAGGATCGCTATGCACTGACCTTCGCAGAGGCCCAGGAGGCCTGCCGTCTCAGCTCAGCCACCATTGCAGCCCCACGGCACCTGCAGGCTGCCTTTGAAGATGGCTTTGACAACTGTGATGCCGGGTGGCTCTCTGACCGCACTGTTCGGTGAGGGGGTACACAGGGTTGGGACATGGAGACCTAGCTCCTGGGGAAAGATGGTTGTTGGGGGCCCCAGGCGCACATATTTGAGAGGGACCCCCTCCTTGTCTTGTCAGGTATCCTATCACCCAGTCCCGTCCTGGTTGCTATGGCGACCGTAGCAGCCTTCCAGGGGTGAGGAGCTATGGGAGGCGCGACCCACGGGAACTCTACGATGTGTATTGCTTTGCCCGTGAGCTGGGGGGTAAGTCTGGGGCTGGCAGGACCCCCCCACCCTCACTTCCCTGAGTACCTATTACCCTCCCCAACCCCCATTCCTCCCTAAGTCCTTGCCTAGCTCTCCTAAGTCTCATCCCTCTATAAACCTGCAGCCAATATCTGGGCTCACCCTTCTCTGAGCTTTCCTTCCCTCCCTGAGCCCCTCTCCTTCTCTGTGCCCCTTCCCTCTCTCTGAGGCCCTGTCTCTTCTCTGAGACTCTCCCCCTCCCTGGCCCCTCTCCCTATTCCTACCCTTCTCTTACTCTCTGAGCCCCCTCCCCGCGCCAAGATCCTCCCTTTCTCTGGAGCCCAACACACTCAAAGGCCTGTTACCTCATTTGTAAAAAGAAGCTAAGGCCCTCTTCTTCCTAGCACTGCCTGAGAGGTAAAGACCACAGCGCGGGCGGCGGTGCGCACAGCGGCGGCTATCGCCGCCTTGTTTAGCCACCACCCAAACCCGGCCAGGCTGGAGTTCAGAGTGGGACCCCCCTTCCCGGGCTTCAGGGGAGAATTCCCCAGGCCCGCTTGACCTTCGCTCGCGCCTTCCCGCAGGCGAGGTCTTCTATGTGGGCCCGGCCCGCCGCCTGACCCTGGCCGGCGCGCGTGCCCAGTGCCGCCGCCAGGGCGCCGCGCTAGCCTCGGTGGGACAGCTGCACTTGGCCTGGCACGAGGGCCTGGACCAGTGCGACCCGGGCTGGCTAGCCGACGGCAGCGTGCGCTACCCGATCCAGACGCCGCGCCGGCGCTGCGGCGGCCCAACCCCCGGCGTGCGCACCGTCTACCGTTTCGCCAACCGCACTGGCTTCCCGGCGCCCGGAGCGCGCTTCGATGCCTACTGCTTCCGAGGTGCGTGTAAGGTCAAGCCCCTGGAAGGTGCGTCCCCTGGCAGCCACGCCCCAAAGCTATACATCCAGGTCAAGGCCACGCCCCTGGGAATTTTCCTTTCTAGTGGAGGCGGAGCCCAGACAGAGGAGAGACACCCTTGGAAATACGCTCTGAGAGAAGCCATGCCCTCGGTGAAGCCCACGCCCCTTTCCCTAGGAGCCCCGCCCTGGGGGTAGGATCGGGGCCCGAAAAGGCCAAACTCTGGCGGGGAAGTTCCGTTGAGAGTGAGCTGTATCTCTTAAGGTCCCTGAAAGACACGCTTCTGAGTGGAGCATATTTTAGCTGGAGCCTTGTGCATAAGCATCCCCGGAGGAGGAAGTGCTGTTCCAGTAGCCACGGCCCCAAGGCAAGGCCACACCTCCAGGGACTAGGGATGACCCTAGTCCTTGGAGTGGGACCAAAGTTTCAGAAGCTGGGAACCTGGCTCCAAGGACCTAAGACTAATGTGTAAGAGGGAAAAAAATCCCTTTGTAGGAAGGCCACGCTTATTAGGAGCTTCCTCCCCCTGGGGGAGAAGCTATGGTCCAGGTCTGACCTGCCCCCATGAGAATTGGCCACTGCCTGAGCTTTACCCAGGAACCTAGCTGTCTCTTGACCCCTCCCCATGACCAGTTGACTGACCTTGACAGTGGGCCCCAGCCTGAACAGTAGGAGTGTTAACTTCACACCTTCCTCTCTCTGGGTTTAGGGGGTCCCAGAAACCACGCAGAGATTTTAGAGACAGAGGGGCACAGAGAAACAGAGAGACACAGACGGTTCACGCTGCAGCATGCTAGAGTGGGGGTAGACTTCAGGCAGAACTTCCTGGCCAACCTTCCTAACACAACCTTTTCGGCTTTCTCCCACAGCTCATCATCCTACACCACCACATGGAGACCCAGAGACCCCCTCATCTGGGGATGAGGGGGAGATTCTGTCAGCAGAAGGGCCTGCAGCCCAAGAAGTGGAACCCAGCACTGGGGAGGAGATGGTCACCCCTGACTTCCAGGAGCCTCTAGTATCCAGTGGGGAAGAAGAGCCTCTGATCTTGGCAGAGAAGCAGGAGTCTCAGGCGACCCGCAGCCCTGCTCCTGGAGGCTTCATGCTAGCCTCAAGGCCCCCCCGGGAGGCTGAAGAGGTGTGGCCGAGCACAGTGGCCCCCAGCCCTAGCAGCCCCAGCACTGCAGTGGGCGCTCACACGGAGGCGACTCCAACTGGCCCCGTGCCCAGGAGGAGGGGACGCTTTAAAGGGTTGAATGGGCGCCACTTCCAGCAGCAGGAACCCCACCGAGGCCTGGAGGTGGGGCTTGAGGCCAGCACCCAGGCCCTGACCCCAGAGGCTGCTGGGAATCACGTGGAGCCTCTGCTGGCCACAGGAGCCACAGATGCTTCAGGGGATAGCCGGAGCCAAAGCCCTTGGGCTGTGCTGACCAATGAAGTGGATGTGCCTGGAGCTGGTGAGTGGGGTCCAAGGGAGAGGTGGGACCTGCCTGGGGGTCTGAGGAGGACAGGGGAAGAGGTTCCAAACCCCAGCTGGGTCCTCAGGCCTCACCAAGCCTCAGAAACCCCCTTCTCCTTGGGCCTGGGAGCCAACGGGACTCCACAGAAGGAACTGCTGAGAGATCATTAGAATCACTCTTGTTGATATTGTTGCAGGTTCCCCTGGTGGCAGGAGCCCCCCAGAGCCCTGGCTGTGGCCCCCGACCGTGGCCCCACCCAGCGTCCCAGGCCCCAGCAGCATTGCTGGCCTGGAACTAGAGGAAGCCAAGGGCCCCAGTGTGAGGCCGGCCGCTCCTGAACTGTCCTGGTCTCCCTCAGAGGTCACTGCCCTAGAACCCAACCCCTCAGAGGGTCCCAGCAGTGCCCCCTGGGAGGTATCCCCCATGGTCACTTCCCCAGACTTTCCTGTCATGGCCATGCTTCGTGCCCCCAAACTGTGGCTTCATCCAAACCCGACGCCCCTCCCCATGCAGGCCAACAGGGTCAAGGGGCATAGTGAGGCCGTGGCTTCTGTACCACCCTCCCCTGCCTCAGACACTGAGGCTGTCCCCCAGGACCCTATTTATCCAGAAATGCATTCCTTGCCCCTCTCCTCAGGCCCCACAGGACAGGGTAGAGAGGCCACACCCCCGACAGTCAGCGGCCACAGAGCAGGAAGTGCAGTAGCTCCTTTGCAGACAGCCACAGACACACAAGCCAGTCCTAACTCTCCCAGGGCAGACTTGGGAGAAATTGGGGGGACCAGCCCTACTGGGCCCAGCAAAGCTGAGCGCCCCAGATCCAGTCCACAAGCTGCTGTGGACAGGAATGTGGCGGAAGATTTCGCCGCCACTGAGACTGCCACTGAGCCCACGGGAGTGAGAGACATCTCGGGGTCTGAGTCTGGGGTCTTCGGCACAGCAGAAAGCCCCACTTTTGGCGCTCAGGCCACCACGGACAAGGCACAGGGCACGTGGCCCTCACTGCACAGTGAAGGGCTGGACTCCCACCCCCCATCTGCACCCTCGGGTGTTCCTAGAGTCCTCTTAATTCCTGGGGTCACCCCAAGTTTGGAGCCTTGGGCCACTATAAATGGAGAAGCCGTGGTGGGGCCCACAGATTCCACGGCCACACTGGCCCCCAGTGATGCTGGTGGGATTTGGGCACCTGGAACCCATGTGGTTGAGGGAGCTGAAAGCCCCACCCTGAGCCCTCGAGTGGCCGTGGATTCAAGCGTAGTGATGTCCCTCATGTCCGTGGACCAAGGGGACAAGGCTGGAGTCCTGGCCATGTCCACAGTGGCCTCCTCGAGCTCCCAACCCCATCCAGAGCCGGAGGGCCAGATGGTGACCCAGGGAATACTGGGAGCCTTGGCCCCTTCACAGGACAGCAGCCCCCCAGGGGAGCTTGTTTTTCCTCCTTGGACACCAACGGCAGCCAGCACGGACAAGCCTGTCTCAGTTTCCTCAGGAGAGCCTACAGTGCCGGGTGACTCTCCCAGCACCCCACTGCCGGCCTCCCTGGGCCCAGAGGAGTTTGAGCTGGAGGTCCTTTCAGGGAGCCCAGGTGTGGAGGGCTTCTGGGAGGAGGCAGCGAGTGGAGAAGAGCCGACCCTGCCAGGGACCCCAGCAAATGGAAGTACAGAGGAGGGTGAGTTCAAAGCTTGTGACCTCATCCAGCCCACTGTTGTCAGGGCTTGGGGACAGGGGCTGGGGCGCCCAGATCTGGGAGGAAGGATTGTTTTGGGGGGCCTGGGAAGGTTTCTAGCAGGGGATGATGCTGGAGATGGGAGCTCACTAGGCAGAGTTGAATTGCGGAAAGGGTGTTCCTGGAAGAGACCAGGAACCTGGGCTGGAACACCAGCCTGGGCAAAGGCCAGGAGGTGAAGTTACATCTTAGTTTTGATGCACAGCGAGGGGGGAATCACGAGGCGTTGGGTGGAGTTTGATTTGGGGGATAAATCATGTTCATGTCCACTCTGAGCCAGACGGTGCTGTGCAATACTAGGGTCTGGCCTTCAGTGAAGCCTCAGTCTGGGAAGACAGAGCTGGACACAGGCACCCCGACGCGGGGCTGGAGGGAGGAAGCGTGACAAAGAGGGCTTTCTGTTCAAGTGGGAGTTGCAACTGGGATTCAGTGATGGTGGATCGTCAGGGGGGCCTCGAGCCACAGGGAAAGTGGGTGCTGGGAAGGGGCAGGAGGGGTGGACATCACCCCCGTTTTATAGAAAGCAAAATAAGGCTTAGGGAGGTATGACTGCCTCCTAGTCAGTGGCCAGTGGCCAGACTTCAATCAGAGCCCAAGTCTGTGGAAGCCTTAACTGTTCTGTGCCTAGTGGAGTCCAGAGAAAGCCAAGTGCCCTGTTTCCCTGGGGCTAGGTCTGCCCACTAGCTCAGCCTGCAAATTTTGGCTTTTTTTTTTTTTTTTTTTTTTTTTTGTTAATTTAACTTTAAAAAAAAAAAAGCAGCAGCTAATTAAAAAACACTTATTCTGAGTTGCAAAACACTCTTATTAACACAATTGGTTTTACACTTGCTCCTTTTTTTGAAGGCAAGGTGTAGTGGCAATGCAAATAGCAGATGCAGGGTTTTGTAGCCCACCCTGTCACCTCCGGCCCACCCTGTCACCTCCGGGCCGTCTCCGGGACTACAGCCTTTTTTCTTAGATGCCCAGGAGGCAAGCAGACCCTGGGCAGGGGCGCAAGCGTCACTAAAGACTGCATGCTTGGCTTGTTCTAAGCACTTTACTGCAACCAACTTGGTGAATCCTTATGATGTCCTTGTGGAACAAGTTCTAGTAAGATCCTCACTTTACAGATGGAGAGACTGAGGCACAGGGAAGTCAGATGACTTGTGAGGAACCTTGCAGCCCGAGGAGTGTAAATGATAAGATTTGAATCCAGGCCATCTGACAACAGTCTGTCTCAAACACTAGGTCATACAATGCATATTTCATTGGTATAAAAAACAAACGCCTGAGGTCTTGAGGAGGGGGTGAGCTCATCCAGGGAAGGAGCAGAGAAGAGACTGGTGGGCGGGATGGGCCGAGGGAAGGAAGCTCCAAGCCAGAGGAGCTAGAAAGGGGTGAACAGAGAGGTGGGAGGACAACCATATATAGGGGTGCTAAGGAAAGTGCTTTGGGTGGAGCCCCTAAGACTACAGCTGGATTTGTCTTGGACCTTGCTGTTTTCTTGGCTCTAGACTGAAGCCAGTGGCAGCCTGGGTGGAGGGAGGCAGCCAACGCTGGGGGAGACCCAGGCGCCTACCCACCCGCCTGCTTGTAGCAGAAATGCTAATGAAGCCAAAAATAAATGCAGCACCAGTGAGCGACTGAGTCACCGCCAGCCCGTGGGTAGGTGTCAGCAGCTCAGGGCACCTGGCGGGGCTCACGCGTCCCAGCACCCAGCAGCCCCAGGCGTGTGCACACACGTGCAGGGGTGATAGCAGGGACAGATACACCAGCCCCAGGCCCCTCTGGGCCCACCACCCCTGGGACAGGCTCCAACCTCTACAGAAGGGCCAGGAGCTATCTTCATGTCATTCAGTTAATGAGCGATTATTGAGGGCCCGCTGTGTTTCAGGCCCCATTTTGAGACCAGGTCCCTTGTCCTGTGGAAGCTGACATTCTAGGGCAACATTCTAGAACTTTCCCAGCGATGGAAATGTTCTGGAGCTATGCTGTCTAATATGGGCGCAACCAGCCATGTGTGGTTACTGAGCCCTTGAAATGTGGTTAGCGTGACTGAGAAACTGCCTTTTTACTTTTATTCCATTTGAATTTAAACTTGAATAGCTATATATGGCTGCCGTGTGGAACATCACTGCTCTGGGGGAAGGTGCTGACAAATAATGATGATCTTAGTAAATAAGCAAATTACATTGGAAGTTAGAAAGTGATATGGGCAAAAGAGAAAAGTAAACCAAAGGGTGGGGGATGCCCATGGGTGTTTTCTAGTTTTAGAAGGGGGGGTCAGAAAGGCCTCTCTAACCAGATGAAATTTGAGCAAGGCTGAAAAGGGGGAGGGAGGAGCCATGCAGAGATCTAGGGGAAGAGCATTCCAGGCAGAGGGAATAGCCTGTACAAAGGTCCTGAGGCAGACCTCTGCCTGGCATGTAGTAGAACAGCAGCGCCAGTATGGCTGGAGCAGAATGAGCCAGGGGAAGAGAGGAGGAGGTAGGGCAGGGAGATGTTGGGAAAAAATCACACAGGGTCCCATGGGCTGCAGTGAGGACTTTGGCTTTTCCTCTGAGGGTATTGGGGGAGCCATGGAGGGACCTAGGCAGAGGAGGGACATGATTTAACTCAGGTTTACATAGGCTACCTCTGGCGACTACCAGGGAGAACAGAGATCAGACGGCAGAGATCAGACCAGGGAGGAGGCAACTGCTTATTACCATCTTAATATCTTGTGAGGCCTTGGGCCAAGAAACAAATTCAGAAACAAATTCTAGGTTATAGGAGTTGGAGAGGGGGACCTTAAACTGGGCTTCCAGAACAGAGCCTGGGAGGCCAGTCTTGGTTCTTGTACTGTTCTGCTGTGTGGCTTCGAGCCAGGCCCTGCTCTTCTCTGGACCTTGGTTCTGGTGTCTATGCAGTGGAGGATTGGACGCTGCCCTGATAAGGGATGGGGGTTGGCTGGGATAGGATGAGAATTCTCGCTCTGTGCCTCCCAGGCTCCAGGGTGGAGACCACCCACCAAGGCATCGGGGCCTCTGAGATGGGGAGGGGAGACTCAACTGCTTCCAGGGAAGCCCAGCTGAGGGAGGAAATGGTGGGGGAGGGGGACAAGGACACATACTCCTCAATGCTCCCTGAGTGCCAAATCCATACAGAGCAATGCTGAGACCTCTGAAGATGCCTCAAGCTGATATAGACAGAGCTGGACATGGCATTATGGTCAAGACCGGGAGAGGGACGAACTGTTTTGATTTCTATTTTGTGGATGAGGCAACTGAAATTCAGAGAAGTAATTTGTCCAGGGTCCTTGATGAGTGGCGGAGTCAGGGATTGAACTAACCTCTCTGATTCCAGAGCCCGTGGTTATAACTACAATAATCCAGCACCTCTCCAACCACTGCATCAAAAAAGACTGAGCCACCAGAATGAAGGAGGTGATAGTTCTCCCTCTTGGCTGGTGCTGTTCATACCCTACCTGGGACCTTACCTCCACCTCTGTGCTCCAAGTTGTGAGAAGTGCAATGGCCATCAGGCCATGTCCAGAAGAGAGGGACAAGTCAGGGAAGCACTTAAATCCATGTTCTGGGAGACTTCCCAAAAGAAGCTTTAGGAAGCCAGTTCCACTACAGTCTGTTTCCATAAGCAGAGTGGCCCGCACATGCTCTGGGGCAGTTCCTGAAAGGAATGAGCTCCTCATTAGAGGAGAATGCAAGAGGAAACTGACAACCGCAACTGCCTATTGGGAAGTTATAGAGAGGACTCCACAGAGAGGGTTTGGGGGAGTCTTAGGTCTGGATGCCAGGAAGGCAGACGACATGGTGGCCTGCCTCCTCTCTACACTGCCTGTCCATCCTGCAGCCCCCTTGGATCCCTGCGAGAACAACCCTTGCCTGCATGGGGGCACCTGTAAAGCCAACGGCACCATGTACGGCTGTAGCTGTGACCAGGGCTTCGCCGGGGAGAACTGTGAGATTGGTGAGTGCCCCAGACTCAGGATCTGAACCTGGACTTGTTTGGATCAGAACCCTGGGGTCTACCTCAGCAGCCATCCCCATGAGGACTGAGGGATAAAATGCCGGCTTCAGATGCTCCCTTCTCCTCCCCCTTTCTTTGGATCCAGTAACTCAGTCCCAATTAGGTGAACCAGCACCAAACAGCTGAGCTCTTGTCCCGGGTACCATGGCTCAGGTGTCCTGCCACCCATCACTACCAGGCAGAGATGAGAGGAAAAGACAAATGATAAGGCTCAGATTCCTCCCTGATCCAAGGGGGTTCTCCCTAGCCCCAAAGCCCAACACAGGGAATATGACAAATTAGGAAATCTTAACAATAAATATAAATGACATAAATCTTGAGCCCTGCACATTATTTCATTTCACAACCATACTAATTATAGAATTATAACAATAAATATAAGCAATGTAATTTCGTGAGCTCTTCCATGGACCCTCCACCGACAACCACTCTTGAGGAGGTGCTATTATTATCACCATTTTGCAAAAACGAAAATGAGTCCCAGAGATGGGAAGTGACTTGCCCAAGTCACTCAGGCACAATCTACACAGAAATTGGTTGAATGAGAGCTCAACTGAGATCTAGTTCAACTGATTTCTAGCTCTACCTACAAACAGCTTTGTGCCTCTGTGCAAGTCCTTGCAAATGTTATGGAACTCAGTTTCCCCAAGTTCCACATTCTGGTAGGACCCTCCATCTTCAACATTCTAGGAGTCTGTTTGCCAGAGTATAACCTTCACTCTTCTGAAGGCCAGTGAAGCATTCCACACACTCTGGCTCTCAGCTGGCCCAGTGGCATCTGCTCTCATTAATGCTAATTCATGCTAATTGTTTGAGGTTCCACCCCCTTGGCCTCCAGAGTCATTGGGCCATCTGTGCAGACCACCGTTGCTTCACTCAGGTCCAGGATGGATGGTAGGACCATGACCTCATCTTCTGCCTGGTTCCTTGTGGGGACTGGGAGCCAAGGGGAGGCTGACCTCTAACTCAGTCCCCCCCCTCCAGATATTGATGACTGTGTCTCCAGCCCATGTGAGAACGGAGGCACCTGCATTGATGAGGTCAACACGTTCGTCTGCCTTTGCCTCCCCAGCTACGGGGGTAGCCTCTGCGAGAAAGGTGAGTCTCTACCGAGACCCCAGAAACAGTACCAAGAGGGGGCTGGTTGCTGGGCCACATGTTTCTCACATATGCTTCAGGTCTCCATCTCTGTTTCTGTGGCCGTGAGTTGAACAGATGACAAATTGTTGTTTGGGGATAAAATTCACGTAACATAGAATTAACCTTTTTAGAATGTACAACTCAGTGGCATTCCGCGCATTCACAATATTGTGCAACCACCACCTCTAGCTATTTCCAAGACATTTTCATCACCCCAAAAAGGAATCCTATATCCATTAGCAGTCACTCCCCATTCCATCTCCCTCAGCCCCTGGTAACCAACCACTAATCTACTTTCTGTCTCAATGGATTTGCTGGTTCTGGATGTTTCATATAAATGAGGTCATGCACTATGTGTCATTTTGTGTCTGCTTTCTTTCCACTCAGCATGATGGTTTCCAGATTCATCTACATTATAGTGTGTATCATTGCTTCATTCTTTTTTATGGCTGAATAATAGTCCATTGTAAGGAGATATCACATTTTCTTTATCCGGTCATCGCTTGGTGGATATTTGGGTTGTCTCCCCCTTGTGGTTAATATGAATAGTGCCACTATGAACATTCGTGTGTAAGTTTTTGTTTGGACAATGTTTTCCTTTTTTCTCCCCCCATCCTTTTTGGTGTATATTCAGTAGTACAATGGCGGGATCATATGGCAATTCTGTGTTTAACATTTTGAGGAACTACAAGGCTGTTTTCCACAGTGGCTGCACCATTTTACATCCCTGCCAGCGATGTACAAGTGTTCCAATTTCTCCACATCCTTGCCAACGTTTGTTATGTTCCTTTTTTTAAAAAATTTTTGTTTTGGGGCGCCTGGGTGGCGCAGTTGGTTAGGCGTCCGACTTCAGCCAGGTCACGATCTCACGGTCCGTGAGTTCGAGCCCCGCGTCGGGCTCTGGGCTGATGGCTCAGAGCCTGGAGCCTGTTTCCGATTCTGTGTCTCCCTCTCTCTCTGCCCCTCCCCTGTTCATGTTCTGTCTCTCTCTGTCCCAAAAATAAATAAACGTTGAAAAAAAAATTAAAAAAAAATTTTTGTGTTTTAAATGTTTATTTATTTTTGAGACAGAGAGAGACAGAGCATGAACGGGGGAGGGGCAGAGAGAGAGGGAGACACAGAATCTGAAGCAGGCTCCAGGCTCTGAGCTGTCAGCACAGAGCCCGGCACGGGGCTCGAACTCATAGACCGTGAGATCATGACCTGAGCCGAAGTCGGAGGCTCAACCGACTGAGCCACCCAGATGCCCCATTTTTTTTTTTAATTCTATCCATCCCAGTGGGTGCGAAGTAGTGTCCCATCATGGTTCTGATTTGCGTTTCCTAATGACTAACCATATTGAGCATCTTTTCATGTGTTTATTGGCCATCTGTATATCTTTTGCGGAGAAATGTCTATTTGAGCCTTTTGCCGGGAGAGAAATTTTAGGGCTTCCTGAGACCATCTCCTGAGTTCCCAGGTCCACACAGAGGGTGTGGCCAGATCAGAGGAAACATCAGAGTTGGGACGAGAGGGATGGGTGTAATGATCTTCAGTTGAATATCTTCCTGCGACAGAGAAAGAAGTGACTATGGGGGGGAGAGGTAAAAAGGGTGGGGGGACAGAGCCTCAGGAGGATGGGGGGAGGAAGAGGGGTGATCTGGCCCCACAGTGACCTTGGTTTTGGCCTTCTCTCTGGTGCACTGGCTGTGCTCATGACCAGCAGGGCAGGCCTTGACACAAGGCCAGTCTCCCTCACGCTCCCATCCCACCTCCCAGACACAGAGGGCTGTGACCACGGCTGGCACAAGTTCCAGGGCCACTGCTACCGCTACTTTGCCCATCGACGGGCGTGGGAGGACGCCGAGAGGGACTGCCGCCGCCGAGCGGGCCACCTGACCAGCGTCCACTCACCCGAGGAACACAGCTTCATTAACAGTAGGGACTCTGGAGTGGGCGGGGTGGCCCTTGCAGTCCCTTTGCCAGGGCATCCCCTAGGGTCCTTAAGACACTACCTTTCTGAAGCTGTGTTTATTAATGCTAGCCCTGACCACTTGAATTCATATGTCCATTTATTCACTTGTTATTTCATACTTCACTTCATTCATTAACTCACCAAATATTTACTGAGTTTCTGCTATGTGCCAGGCCCTGTTCCGGGCATTGGGACACAGCAGTGAGTGAGACGCATATTGTCCTGTCTGCAGGGATTGACATCCTTGTAAGGGCTATAGGCAAACAAGTAAATATCTAATTAAATAAGTGTATACTATAATTTAGCTGGTCCTAAGTGCACTGATGACAAATAAAACAGAGCCAGGGGAAAGAGGGGAAGAAGCGTCTGTGATGTGGGGGATGAAATGAGGAAGGAGCTCTGCATAAATCTAGAAAAAGAGTGTTGCATCAGTTAAATCTGGCATTTATTGATTTATTCATTATCCCTCTGCCATTTGTTCATCCATCCAATGATTCACATTTCCCCCATCCCATCCCCTGTTAATTCTTTCATTTGTTAATTCCCTGGTTCCTTCATTTTTGTTTTTTCCCCTCAATGTAATCAAACACATGCTTATCCTTGAGGACACTCAGTGACTGACTCCCTCACTAGGTCTCACCCGCCTGCCTGGTCCAGCCCGGCCTGCTGGCTCTCCTATCCCTTACTCTAATTTCTGCAAAACCTGATGAGTCTCTGTTTATTCCTTCCTGTGGCTATTTGTTTAAGCCACTAATCGTGGCAAGACTGGAGCCTAATTCCAGCCCTTTTCATGCCCCTCCCACCCTCATCGGCTTGGGAAGGGGGGGGGGGGAACACCGCCTTCAGCCCACACAGAGGCTGGGGGAGGGGCTGGGTCCTCCCCTCCCATACCTTCCACCCCTCCTCCGGCCCACAGCCTAGGCTGGGGGAGGGGTGGGCACCCAGCCCTCAGGATGCCCCACCTCGCAGGCTTTGGGCGTGAAAACACTTGGATCGGCCTGAATGACAGGATCGTGGAGAGGGATTTCCAGTGGACGGACAACACGGGGCTGGTGAGTGGCAGGAGCCAGGCTTGGGTCTCCCTAGAACAATGGGATGTGTATAAGCCGCGTGGGCTCTGTGCTCTGGCCTGACTTTACCCTCTTGTGCAAATCAACCATGAAAGTTCCTCGTGGCTCTGAGATTGGGAAAGGAGCTTCAGCGAAGTTCCAGGTCACCCTTGACTTCCCAGCCCTGTAAACACCCGGCCCACCCAGTGACTGAAGTTATAAACGTAGGACTAGGGCCTGAGGTCTCCTCTTGCTCGCTGCCGGGTCCTCCAGCCATGGACTTTAAGATATTCCCATTTCCCTACAGCCCCCTGCCTGACCAGCCTCCCTTATCACTCACTGGGACCCCTGCAGCAGCCCCCCAAAGCCCCACCTTCCAAAACACACGCTTGCTACCTACCCTCTAGCCCCTCCACCTGGCAGCCAGGCGGACTTTTTAAAAAATTGTGGTGAAATTCATATAACATAGAATTAACCATTTTAAAGTTTTCTTTAAAAAAAAAAATGTTTATTTTGAGAGCACACGATTGGGGGAAGAGCAGAGAGAGAGGGAGAGAGAGAGAGAATCCCAAACAGGCTCCGTGCTGTCAGCAAGGAGCCTGACGCATGGGGATCGATCTCAGGAACCGAACGATGAGATCATGACCTGAGCCGAAATCAAGAGTCAGGCACTTAACCGACTGAGCCACCCAGGTGCCCCCTTTGAAACATTTTTTATTTAACTAATCTCTACACCCAGCGTGGGGCTCAAACTCATGGCCCAGAGATCAGGAGTTGCATGCTCTTCCGACTAAGCCAGCCAGGTGCCCCCAAATTAATAATTTTAAAGCGTATAATTCAGTGGCATTTAGTATTTTCACAATGTTGTGCGGCCATCGCCTCCATCTGGTTACAGAATGTGTCCACCCGAAAAGGAAAACCTATACATGGGGACCTTTTCAAAATCATAGATCAGGATTCTCCCTGCTTCAAGTCCTCTCAGGCTCTCTGTTGTTCTCAGGATAAAAATTCACCTCTTCCTGCGGTGAAACACAGTCTGGCGGGCCCACAAAAAGTTAAAGTCAAACACAGAATTGCCACGTGACCCAGAAACTTCGCCCCCGGGTAGATACCCAAAAGAAGAAAGAAGGTCTTTCACTCAGATATTTGTCCACTCGTGTCCACAACAGTACTCGTCACAGTAGCCAAAAGGTGGAAACAACACAAATGACCATCAAAAGATAAATGCATGAACAAAATGTGGTCCATCCAGACGATGATTTACTATTCAGGTAAAAAGCTGATATGTGCTACCATGCGGATGAAATTTGAAAACCTGCTCGGTGGAAAAGGCCAGAAGGCCACAGAGTGTGTGATTTCGTTGACGTGAAGTATCTAAAATAGGCAAACTCGCAGGGACAGAACGTGGATCAGTGGTTGCCAGGGGCTGGGGGCAGGGCAGAATGGGGCGCGATCGCCAATAGGGAGAGAGTTTCTGTTTGAAGGGACAAAAAGGTGCTGGGATTAGACAGTGGTGACAATTGCACAACATTGTGGATCTTATTAATGCCAATGAACCGGACACTTAAAAATGGTTAAAATGGTCAATTTTACGTTATATGTATTTTACCACAGTTTCAAAGCGTCCACCTCCTCGGGCCGCCTGGGTGGCTCAGTTGGTTAAGTATCTGGCTCTTGATCTCAGCTCAGGTCTTGATCTCGGGGTTGTGAGTTCAGGCCCTGCATTGGAGCCTGCTTTAAAATAAAAAATAAGAAAAAATCCACCTCCTCTACCGCAAGAACTGGCCCTTGCCCACCCACACTCACCATACCCCAACTCAGTCCAGCAGCTCCAGCCCCACTGGCCTCTGTTCTATTCCTCAAACAGGATAAGCACCGCCCTGCCTCTGGGCCTTTGTGCTAGCTGTTCCCTCTGCTTGGAATTCTGTTCCCTTCCTGCATCATTTCTACCCTTGAGTCTTCAGCTATCCGCTTGTATTCTCCGGGAATCCCTCCTGGACCTTTGCTCAACTATTTATCTCAGAGTGACCTAGGTGGAAGATTAGACTGTCAGGGAGAAAGGAAGCAGGTAGGAGGGCCAAGGAAGAGGGCACTGCAGCCTTGCAGCCAGAGGAGGGGTGACTCCGGGTGCAGTGGAGGCCACCATCCGGCAGAACGGTGCCCGTTGTAGAGATAGAAACACTGAGTCCTTCAAGTTTGAGTAGGCTGGCCAGGGGAGTCCTGCAGTAAGCAGTGACAGAGTCTGAGCCTCTCTGCCCCTATTCCTGCAGCAATATGAGAACTGGCGGGAGAACCAGCCTGACAATTTCTTCGCGGGTGGGGAGGACTGTGTGGTGATGGTTGCACATGAGAGCGGGCGCTGGAACGACGTTCCCTGTAACTACAACCTCCCCTATGTCTGTAAGAAGGGAACAGGTATGCCGCTACCCTCCCCACCACTTGCCTCTGCCTTTCCCGGGGCCCTTGTTCTCTTTAAATGTGTAAATGTAAGTCAGCCCTGCCCAATTTTCACTACAGTGCTGTGTGAGAGTGCCCATTTTTTCCCGACCTTTGCCAACTCTGTGTGTTCTCAAATCTTTTGTTCTGTGTTCATCTGGGTGGTGAAAAAATAAGATCTACTTGTTAGGGGAGTTTGCGTGCCCTTAAGGATGAGAATAACCGATAGTTCATAGGTTCATAAGCTATTTGGATGTATTTATTTTCCTGTGACCTGCAAGTTCACCTCCTTTGCATAACGTTCTATAGGTTTGTTGGTCTTATTGATTTGTGAGAGCTCTTTACATATTAAGGGAACACTCATATGCGTTCTCGTGTCCACCTTTCTGTTATACTTTTGCTTATTCTTACTTATGTGTCCGTGACAGTTTTCATGTCCTTTCTTCCTTTCCTTTACTCATATTATTCTTATCTCCCACCTTCATTGCTATTATGCGTAAGGATTAAGGAGGATGGGATGTGTCCAGGAGGTTCCTGCCCCTAAGGATCTCCTGGGTTAGGTAGAGGAGACAGACACTGTCACTTCGATTGAGTAAAGAGCAGGACCTGCTGATGGGTATAATTATTCCCAAGAGAAGAAACCAGTTCAGCCCCAGACTTGATGGTCACTTCCCTTACCAGTGGTTTCTCTGTCTCCAGTGCTGTGTGGTCCCCCTCCAGCAGTACAGAATGCCTCACCCATTGGTGCTCGCAAGGCCAAGTATAATGTTCATGCCACTGTACGATACCAATGTGATGAAGGATTTACCCAGCACCATGTGGCCGTCATCCGATGCCGGAGCAATGGCAAGTGGGACCAGCCCCAAATCGTCTGCACCAAACGTAAGTGGCTGTCCCCAGACACCCCAACGCAGGTTTCCAGTTATGTGTGGTCTCCAATTAAAATGTCATATTACTGGGGCGCCTGGGTGGCTCAGTCAGTGAAGCATCCAACTTCAGCTCAGGTCATGATCCCACAGTTCATGAGTTCGAGCCCCACGTCAGCCTCTGTGCTGACAGCTCAGAGCCCGGAGCCTGTTTCGGGTTCTGTGTCTCCCTCTCTCTCTCTCTCTCTGCGCCCCTCCCACTTGCACTCTGTCTCTCTCAAAAATAAATGAACATTAACAAAGATTTTAGAAGCAAAAAACAAACAAACCAACAAAAAAAACCCCGTCATATTGCTACACACTTTCATCTGGCTGAATGTCTGCCTGGTAATGCAGCCTTGCAGATAAGTGAGAACTTACCAGCCTGCCTGGTGTTTCCTTCGTTTCTCCTTCCCATGAAGAGGCCCGCTATATCAGGCCACCCGCCTCTCACCACCTTTTGCCACTTCCTTGTCCTCCCTCACTTCCCTGCAGCCAGACGGTCCCATCGGATGCGGCGACACCATCACCACCACCAGCACCATCACCAGCGTCACCACCATAAATCGCACAAGGAGCGCAGAAAACACAAGAAACACCCAGCAGAGGACTGGGAGAAGGAAGAAGGGAATTTCTGCTGAAGAACCAGGCAAAAGGAAGCACAACCCCTTTCCCACACCTTCCCTGGAGCCTTCACCTGGGGAGACAGAGCCCAGAGAAAAACAAGAGGGTCTGGAAGTCCCTGAGCCCCAAACCTCACACCCCCCCCCACCTCCACAATCCTTTGTAAAAAGCTCCTCTCTCCTCTTTCTTACATACACAAGGTCCTCTTGGCAGGCATAGCCATGTATCTGAAAAGTCAGTTCTAGTCAGGCTGAACTCTGGGACCATCTCCCAGTGAAGGGAAGCACAATCAGCAAAGATCATTCTTTGCATTGGTTAAGTCTTTTGTTGGCAAGGCTGATTACCAGTTGTTGAAATAAGGCTTTGATGAAGGTGCAAGAGTGTATGTTTGGGTTCACACTAAGGAATTGCTTTTCACACCAGAAGATCAGGCTTAGTAAACTGTCAGATGTGCAGGTTTACTAAATGCAGGCTGAAGCTTTCAGTTAAGGTCATTGGCTTTGGGAATAGAAAACTCCATGGAAGCACACTGCTTGAACTTGACAGCTGTCTTCCTTCACCCTGGACTTCAGCACAAGTTCCTTCTCTGGTCTTGGTGGATAAATGGAGTATGGAACTCCTGTGTACTGAATTTTAGGAATGTTTTTAGAATAACCTCCTTCTGTGCCCTCAAGAGTTGGGGTCAGAATAGTCAGAGCAATATATGGGAATAGAAGGAAGGTGTATTGCTTACCCTCCCAGGTCTAGTCCAGTGCTGAGATTTGGTGGTTCTGTACGTGTGGTGAATCTCTCTCACACACACAGATGAGAGGATGTTTAGGGCTTGATGAGCCCAGATTTCTTCCCCCTCCATCTCTCAGGGAGACAAAGAACCTCCTTCCTGGATCAAGGAGGTGCCAAGTTTTCTAGCTCAGTGCCCATCCCCGTCCCTCCAGAGACATTGGTAGTGCCCCTGCCCTGGGTCCTGCCCCCACTCCTGCCCCATCCCTGTCTTCATTCATTGCCTGGTGGACTAGAAATGCTTAAAACTTGAAGTAGTAACATCTTCCTGCGGTCATGTTGTAGCGAAATGCACAGTGTTAAAAACTGAAACACACACACACACACACACACACACACACACACACAGAGACACACACATTTTTCTCTCATTGCTTTTTAAAAATCTTTTAAGTGGGAAAGAACTGACTAAATCTGTTCCCCCAGTTGGCAACCTGTAAAATAGTTCTCCAAGCCAGAGGCCAGGATTCAGCTCCTTGATCTCTGGCAGGGAAAACCCCCATGGTATCCTTCATGTTTTGTCCCCTCTGAACTCCTCTCCTCTGGGAAAAGTCTGTGGATCTGTGTTAAAAATTACAGTGGGGAATGGCCCTCTGCAAGAAAGAAAAATAAGAAAGTAGATGGTCCAAGGGTTCAGTAGAGAAAGAAATGTGTTGATTGAGCCTATATTCCTCCTGGGAAGGAATAATCATAGCCGACAACTATGGAGTCTATACTGTTCTAAGGACTCCCACACTATCTCCTTGAATCTTCTCAACAGCCCAGTGATTTTGGAACTATTATTTCCCCCATTTTACACATAACAAGAGTGAGGCTCAGAGAAGAGAAAGGCACTGGTTTGAATCCACAGCCAAGACAGGAGAAAGGATTTGGTCCTTCATCTGTCTGATTCCAAACATTGCTTTTACTTTGGGGGAATGGACTGAAGCATAATTATACTCTCTCATATGCACAGGCAGATTTAGGAAAAGATTGAGAAGTGCAAACTAGACCCTTATCCTTGACCATGGTCTTCAGTCTTCCCCGCTATAGACATTATCTCCTGCTCCACCTTATAGTTATAGAGAAAGCCCAGGGATGTACATTTGCCTTCTTGCTTTGATAATTTTTTTTTTTGCTTTTAAAAATATAATAACACATCTTCAATAATTCATGTCATAAAATAATTTTCCTTTGGGGGTGGTGCTTGGGGGTGCAGCTTTTTTTTAGGGGGGGGGGGCTTGGTTTATGCTCCCTGCCCTTGGCCCCCTTAGTCCCTTGCTCGGCCTCCACCCAGCTCCCTGGTGGGAGGGGGCTATGGTCTTTTCTAAAGTGGGTGGTTTGTCTTTTAGTCTTTCCCTTTGGGATGTGCGTGTGTTTGCGTGTGCCGCGTGCGTGGCATGCGTGTGAGTGTGTGCGCGCGTGAACAGCTTCGGGTTCTGCTGGTTTTGCTGTGAGCTGCAGTGTTCTGTGGGTCTGTGGTATCTGACACTGTGGATATTAATGTACTTCTTGGACATTTTAATAAAATTTTTTAACAGTTCCACCTGCCTGTCGCCTCCTGAGACCTTTCTTCATTAATTTACTCAGCAACTACTTGCTGAGCAGGTATTATAAGCCAGGTACTGTGCTGGGTGCTGGGGAGATAATGGTGAACAAGACAGACATGCCCCCGGGAGGTGGTCAAGAAAGGCTTCCAAGAGGAGGTGGGTGGGATCTAACGGAGGGGTAGTGTTAACTAGATGAGGAGTGGAAAGAAAGGAAGACACTTTCAGGCAGAAGAAAGAGACAAATATCTTCTTCCAGAAGGGACATGGGCTATTTGAGAAACAGCAAGGAATCCATAGTGGCTGGAGCAGAGTGATAGAGGTTGATCGTAGGAGGAAATGAGGTCAGAGACACAGGGGATGGACTACTCAGGGCCATATGGGCTGTAGTGAGGAGTTTAGGCTTCATTCTAAAACCAATACTGACAAAAACCAAAAAAAAAAAAAAAGCAAAACAAAAAACATAAATGAGGTCAAAAGGTAAATTCCAACTTGGAAACAAATTTTCAAATCAAAGATAAAAGACTTGTCTTAATATATAAAGAGCTCCTACAATTCAATAGGAAAAAAAGACTAATAATCCAATAGCCAAATAGGCAAAGGATGTGAATAACATGTTCACAGAAAAGGAAATACAGATGCTCTTAAACTACAACATATATTCAACAAAATAATACACGTTTTGCAGGAACATCAGGATGAACAAAGAAGAGCATTTTTAAAAATTTTGCTCAATGTTTATTTATTTTTGAGAGAGAAAGAGAGAGCAAGTGGGGAAGGGGCAGAGAGAGGGAGACAGAATCCAAAGCAGGCTCCAGGCTTTGAGCTGTCAGCACAGAGCCCGACGTGGGGCTTGAACTCACAAGCCATGAGATCATGACCTTAGTTGAAGTCAGACGCATAACCGCCTGACCCACCCAGGCGCCCCAAGAAGAGCATATTTAAAAAGAGAATCAAATAAATCTAACAGGAGAGGAGGCTTGCACTGATCGATGGTGACAGCATACCCAACCTGAGAACGATTTATGACTTCCTCAACCACCTGCACCTAACGTCAAAGTGGAGAATGTTTGTTCGGTTTCACACATAATAAGAGAACAGCCAGTGACAAGCACCATGAGATACCGTTTCTTATTTATCAGGTTCACTATGGTAAAAAGGGATAACACACAATGCTGATTAAGATGTGTGGAAAGAGGCGAGTACATCTATTACTGGTGGGGTATAAACTGGCCCCACCCCTAAGAGAAGGTGGAGACCACTATCGAAGTGGCAAATGTGACTCCTTGATTCAAAGCTCTTGATATCCTCTATCCTCCTCTGGTTATACTTGTGTGAGATGATGTGGGCACTTATTCACAGCAAAATAGGGGACTCTAAATGTCTGCCATTAGGAAGTGGGCTACAAAAATGGCGGTGCATCCAAACAATGAATAACCTGCCAACTTTCAAAAGGATATGGGGGTGGGGGATCTTTATACGGTGATGGAAACTATCTCAAATATATATTATTAAGTCAAAGAAGAATGACTTTAAAAGTATACATGGCACCAGAATGTTCCTAGCAGCATTATTCACAATTGCCAAAAGGTGGAAAAACCCAAATGCCCATTAACTCATGAACGAATAAACAAAATGTGGCATACACATACCACAGAATATTATTCAGCCATGAAAAGGAATAAGGTCTTGATTCACACTCAACATGAAGGAGACTCAAAAATATTATGCTGAGTGAAGGAAGCTGGACACAAAAGGACATATATTATATGACTCTGTATGAAACATCAAGAACAGGCAAATCTAGGGGCGCCTGGCTGGCTCATTTGGTAGAGTATGAAACTCTTGATCTTGGAGTTATGAGTTTGAGCCCCAGATTGGGTGTAGAGAGTACTTAACATTTTTTTAAAAAAATCAATTACACAAATAGGCAAATCTCTGGAGATGGAAAGTTAAACAGTTGCCAGGGCAGGGGGGTAGAGAAGGGAGGAATGGGGAGTGTTTGTTTCATGAGTATGGGGTTTTCTTTGGGGATGATAAAAATGTCTTGGAACTAGATAGAAATGATAGAACAGTGTGAATGTTGTGTAAATGCCATTTGTGTAAAAATGGGGGGGGGGGAGGGGAATGCATATGCATATTTGTTTGAATGAACATAAAACATCTCCGGAAGGGCACATAAAAACTTTGGAGTTCTCTGGGAAGTGAACGGAGGGCTGTACGATGGGAAGGAGTGGTTTTTCTGAATATCTGGCGTCAGAAAGGGTTCTATCCAGTTTACCAACCCTTAGCTCTCCCTTAGGTGGGAGATGCAGCAACTCCAGTAGGAGGAAGGTCCCCCTGGTCGAATTGGTTTCTTAAAATCCCAGGACTCAGTCTCACCGTCAGCCTACCTCCCTAACCATCCCTGCACCAATCAGGGTTTCCCGGGGAGGTGTGCCACCGCACTCATTGGCTGAACTGGGAGGGGGCGGTGTCAGCCCCTTAGACTCTTATTGTAGGAGTGGGGGTTAGAAAATTACATATTCTAGGCAAAATAGGGAACTGGAACCGCGGAAGGGAGAAAGGAACCGCAGGGAAAAGGCGGGATGAAAGAAATCCCATGCACTCGTCCCTGGAAATACGCCTCTCACCATTCCCCCATTCAAGGAAGCTAAGGCCAGCTGGAGCCCAAGGCTGTCTCACGAAGGGGCTGGACGCTGCCTTCAGATGAGTGGCTTGAGTCTCTTGGAGGGCTGTCACATCTGGTATTGAAGGATGAGCAGTTACACCGACCATCTTACTTCTACAGCCTAATCGGTTTTACACTTTGTTCTCTTTTCCCTCTGTCCGAATCCCAGAAACTGTCAATGTTTCTCAGGCCACGATCCCACCCCTACTCCACCTCCGCACCAGGGAAAATTTGCAACCTCTCTGCCTTCCCGATACAAGAACTCTCCATCCAGTTTTGCACACTTGGGTGCCTGGGGGACTGAGAGGAACCACTGGATTTGTCAACGAGCCGGTCGGGACAGGGCTGTGAAGGGCCAGACACATGGGGGATGATGCAAGGAAGAGAGTGAAGGCAGAATGGGGGAGTGGAGAGGTGGGGAAAATTGAAGAGTAGAGGTGGTCCTGAGGAATGAGGGTGATGCTTCTCGAGCAAATCATCATCACACACCCCCAGCTGGGAAACGTTTTGTCCACCAAAGTACATTTATGAAGTAATTACCCATCGGCTGCCTCATTTTCTCATTCATCCAAAAAACAAAACAAAACAACTTTTTTTTTTATTGAGCCCCTGCTGTATGCTTTGCACTCACTGAGACCTCAGAACAGCTCTGGTACAGAGGAGGAAACAGGCTCAGGGGGGTTGTCACTTGGTCGCAGCAGCAGGATTTGAACCCAACCCACCTGATTCCACAACTCACGGATGGGTTTCCTCAAGATGGATGTGACAATAAGGGGGCCGAGGGTTCCAGGAGGGGCCTCAGTGCTATTCCATGGAAGACCTTGGATCTGGGGGCTCCCACAGCTGGGGTGGCTTTGTTCATGGGCCATCTCTCCCGAGCTGGCTCTCAACGCTGGGGGGAGTTTGGCTGGGTTCTGACCTCTTAGCACAAATTGTCCTTTAGAGCCTGTAGCTCCCTGTGGATTTTGAAGTGTAAAAAACATTCTGTCTCTCCTGGATCTCTAAGGAGTGAAACGTGGGGCAGGGGGCAGTTAGAGGAGAGAACTCAGTGAGAATGGAGATGTGGTCTCAGAGGGGATGTGGGGAGCCCAGTGCTTGCACAGCATAAAGGGCTGGGGCTGCCAGACCTCTGGGGGTTGCAGGGTGTCTCGTGCACAACTGTTGTCTGGGATATAGTTAGCGTGCAAACGGAGGAGTGTCCAGCAGCTCCAGAAGCCCAGCCATATCTGGAGATGCTGCCTGGGGCTGGGCCTCTCTGGTTAAGGAGCAGACATTAAATCCCGTGGGGTGCAGTTCCCACCCATGGTAAGAAGTTCCTGAGAGCTGGGAGGTTGGTTGTCATGGAGACGACGTTGCCGGTCTCTGTGGTGACAGTTTGATGGGGTGGGGCCCTGCTGACATGGGAAAGCCTAGGGGGACAGGTGTTCTGTCACCTCAAACACCAGAGTTTGGCTTCCATGGCAACCATTGTGGGGCTCAAGCAGCTTGGAGAGGGAGCTTGGATGGGGGGCAAAGAGCTGGAGTGCACCTGGGGCAAGGGCAGCCTGTTCTCATGGTGAAAACTGGAGAACTGAATGTTGGGACACTCTCAGGACAGTTCTGGGGGTAGGGGAGAGTGGTCTTCATGGCTGTTGGTAAGGATGGGGACTTCAAGAAGCAGAGTTGTAGCTCTCTGGTGTCCCGGAGGTGAGATGGGAAACGTGTGGTATCCATGGTTACAGCTGGAGGAGGGAGGCACTATCTCCATGGGTGTGACTGATGAGGGAAGGGCTATGTGACTAGGTTACAGGTAGAAGTTGGGCTGGTCGCCTTGGTAACATGGGAAGTGGGACAGCTTTCTCCACAGCTAGTGACACGGATCCTACGGATCCCTGGGCCCAGGGGATGGTCTCTTTGGTGACAGCCAGGAAAGAGGCCATCAAGTGGGAGCAGATTTGCTCCCTCCAAAGACATACCTGAGGGGTGGGGCATGGCCGCCAGTCATGCGAGCCGGCTGGGGCATGTCAATCTGTTTTTGTGGTGACAGACGAGGCTGGTCTCCCCTGAAACTGGAGGAGCGGGGCTGTTCACAGTGACCGGGGAACGTGGCCTGTTATTCTGCAAACTTGGAGGACTCGCAGTGGAAGGGGGGAAGAATGGGCATACCTAATATCCAGGTCACCATAGGGAAGAGGACAGGAGCCCTGTCTCCATGTGACCATGGGGGCGTGATCACCTGGTGAACTCTGAGGTTTCTGTTTTCTATACATGTTGGGGGGGAGGGTTAAGGGATCAGTCTTCAGTCTCCAGGGAGATGCAGAGGGCCCGAGGCCAATCTCCAGATAATCCCGGG